TCAACCACAGGAGCAGCCAACACTGGCAGATCACGGGCCCGGATCTGAGCTTTCTTTTGGACTTCAAGCAAGTGATTTTCCACCACTTTCCGCGGGCCAGTAACAGGCCGACCGACTACTGCGCACATTTGGCTCGGTTCGGTGACTTTGTTTGGACTGACTGTGACAATAGAAATGTTCCTCCCTCTTTTGTTTCGCTTTTAAGGGAGAACAGTGATAGAGTGTAGGCTCTTTTTATTTGTGCTTCATGTATTTTCCTTTTATTTCTTAATGCAATATGCAAATTTCAAGGAACCCAAAAACTTTACCCTATAGGTGCTTAATGTCTACGACCCTCTTCTGGAATTGCAGGGGGGCCCGTAAGAAGTGCACAAGCAACTACCTGCGTCACCTGGTTGGTGACAATGAGGTGCACTTCATTGGCCTGGTGGAGACCAAGGTGGATAATTTCGACCGTGCGGAGGTCGATAGGATTATTGGTACCAGTTGGGACTTCTTTCACTACCCCGCGATTGGCAAATCTGGGGGTATCCTTGTGTTGTGGCGGAAGAATCTGATCAAGTTTGAGCTACGGTTCGTGGATGATCAGGTTGTCATTGGCTCATTAACCCCTCCTGGCGGGCTGTGCTGGGCGGTCGCGGTTGTCTATGGTAATAAGGATTACCTCCGTCGCAGAAGCATTTGGGAGAATATTGGGGCTTTCTGTGATGCAGCGGAGCCAATTCTGGTAGGCGGCGACTTCAATTGCTTCCTCACTCAATCGGAGAAGAAAGGAGGGAAACGGGTAACCCCAACTACCGGTGTGCTTGAGATGACCGAATTTATGAATTGTAATGATCTCCATGATCTTGGTTTCATGGGGCCCCAATTTACTTGGTGTAATAATAAGGAGGGCAATAGCCGGATTTGGGTGCGCCTTGACCGGATCCTTATGAACTCTGAGGGCCTTTGCAAGGCCCCGCTTGCGATGGTGCGTCACATGGGGTGGATTTCTTCGGATCATGCCCCATTGCTCTTCTCATTGAGGCCCAAGGGGACCACGGCTCCGGAGAGATGGATCTGGTTTGAAGACGTCTGGATCACCTATCCGGCGTCTTGGCGAATTGTTTGGCTAAATTGGCGGAAGATTGATGTGGGCTCCCCTGCGGATATCCTCAATCATAAATGCCATCGTACGTTGCGTGCCTTGTATCACTGGAGCCGCCAGCGCGCACTCAATTTAAATTGGCAAAAAATGGAGCTGGAGCGGCAGATCATTGAGCTGCAGAATATGGATTGCACGCCTGGCGGGCTTAGCCAGGATCATGAGGATGAGTTGCGGAGGTGTGTTGGCGAGTTGAATGACACGTTGGCGAGATTAACCATTTGGTGGAGGCAGCGTGCCAAGGTCCGGTGGATCGAGCAGGGAGATGCTAACTCCCATTTTTTTCACTTGGCCGCCTCGGGCCGGCGGCGGGACAACAGAGTGGTGCTCACTTTACCGAGTTGCGAGCAGCCAGTGTCTGATCAATGGATAATCCTGGATACTTTTATGACTTTCTTTCGGGATAAATGGTAAGACCGACAAGCCTGTCTCACGGGGTGGCCTAATTTCGGTAATGCTGTGAAAATTACGGCTCATTTAGTTCCGTCCCTCACTGCTGCGGTTACGGATGAGGAGGTGTGGCATGCGGTGCACACCATGGGATCCAACCGTGCGCCTGGGCATGACGGCATCACGGCTTCCTTCCTCAAGTTTTACTGGGAGATTATCAAAACGGAAGTTCTTTTGGCGGTGCGGGAGTTCTTTTCTTCCAACTTGATGGATGGGCAGTGGAAAGAGACCCTCATCATCCTTATCCCTAAGGTTTTGAATGCGGATAACCCGACTAAATTTCAGCCAATCAGCCTTTGTCAAACCTTTTATAAGGTGGTCGCAAAGGTGCTTGTTCAGCGGATGAAGCCGGTGCTTGCTAGTATCATTGGGGAAGAGCAAGGGGCGTTCGTGCCCAGGAGATCTATATCCAACCACGGCCTGTTGGCGCAAGAGATCATAAGCAACTTCCAGTACTCCACCAAGGCGGCAGGGATGATGGCTTTGAAGGTTGATATGGAGCAGGCCTACGATTGTATGGCCTTGGACACGCTGGAGCATGTTATGGATTTGATGGGCTTCCCGGCGGCCTTCACTAAATGGGTAACCCAGTGCATTTCTTCTCATAAATTTCAATTGCTTATTAACGGTTGCAGGACCGAATGGATTCATGGGGCTAGTGGCTTCCGCCAAGGATGTCCGCTTTCGCCATATCTCTTTATCTTATGCTCAGAGCTTCTAACCAAGGCGTTTGCTCAGCACGGTCAGACTCTTGGGGTTCAGGTGGCCCAGAACGCCCCGCTGGTGTCTCACCTTCTTTACGCTGACGATGTGCTCATTTTTGCCACGGCTAGTGGCACTAATGCTCGGAGGACCATGGAGATCTTTGAGGACTATTGTGCCTGGATAAATTGTGCCAAATCCGCTATTCTTTTCAGTAAAAAGTGCCCCCTTTGGAAGCAGCGAAGGATTGCTAGGGATATTGCTTTCCGCCGTGTTCATTCTTTGGAATATCTTGGGCTGCAGTTGACTATGTGGAAAATGATGAAGTCTGACTTTCTTAAGGTTGTAAGGTCGGTCTCGGATAAGATTAACGTCTGGTGCCGAAGACATCTCTCTCTGGCGGGTCGGGCTACTTTGATCCGGTCTTCCCTTTTAACTATCCCAATGTATCTTATCACGCATACGAATATTCCGACGGGAACTCTCAATGCTATCGAGCGAAATGGCAAGATAATTCATGTGGCAGAAGGATGCGGGCAAACGGGGCTTGCACTATGTGTCTTGGCCGGAACTTTGCCGACCAATTTCGGTGGGTGGGCTGGGCTTCCATGATCCGGTAATTGGCAAGGCCCCCTACGGGCTAGATTGGCCTGGAATGTGATTCATGACCGGGAGTCGCTTCTCGGACGTACCATTGTGGCTAGGTACGGCACAAATCTTTGGAGTGCGACTGAGGGGCGTAGCGCTTCGACTACTTGGAAAGTTCTTAAGGAGGGAGCGGCTGCACTTCACCCTATTCTCCGTTGGAAAATTTGGGACGGCAGCAAAATTGACATTCTTGAAGACATTTGGATTGCCAACCGCAGCTTGGCTCGCTGGCCGTCGTTTATTGCTGTGGACACCATTGAGGGCTGTATGGTGGGAGACTTTCTGGATGAGAACCTTGTATGGCAACGGGAGCGTGTTTTGCATTATTTGGCCCGGCACTTGCTGAGTATATCTTTGGCATTCCGACCCGAGTGGGGCAGGGGGAGGATTGCCCTGAGCTGATCAACTTGCCAGTCGGGACCACCATTTCGGCGTTGGCTTACAGGGAGAAGTTCTTTCAGCTGGAGTTTGATTTTCTGTGGTTCGAAAAATTCCGGCTGCATCCGCGTGAACAAATGTTCTGGTGGCGTATCATCCGCGGTGCCATCCCGACCAATTCCTGGCTCTTCCGGTGGGGGCTTGTGGATCTCCCAAGCTGCCCGTGGGGGTGCAATTGTGAGGAGACGGTGCTGCACCTCACTGCTCATTGCGGGATGCTCATTTCGACCCATGAGGTGCTTGCCAAGTGGGGCTTTGCCTTGCCGATGTTCCAGAATTGGGAGGATATGTTGAATGGCCTTTCTCTCTCGGCCAAGATGAATGCGAGTGTTGGAAGACTCTATTGTTATGTGGTTTATCAAGTTTGGCGGGCCCGTAACGACAAAGTGCACGGGCAGGCGTTTGGCACGCCTTCGGTGCTTGCGGCTAATGCCTTGGCCATGCTTCCGAGATGTTTTGCGATGCCGGCCTGGGAGCAATGGTGCACCTTCCAGCCCTTTAGGATGTCGTCTTCCACTCATTGGTGCACCCCCCCTGGGTGGGTAAAGTTCAACATTGATGCTTCGGTCCGTCCCAATTCTGTGGCCGGTCTGGGTGTTGTGGCTCGGGACCATGATGGCAAGCTGCTTCTTGCCGTCGGGAGCCTGGTGGAGCAATGGGATGTTACGAGGGCTGAAATTCTTGCGGCCATTGCTATCCGGGGTGCTGTTGAAGATTGGATGTTCAATATTGATGGGATTATTATTGAGGGAGATTGCCGCAATGCGATTAAGTGGCTCCAAGGGGCTTTCAACCGCCTGAATAAGCTCCATCTGAGGACTGAAGGGCCGGACCTCTCCTTCCTGCTGGATTTTCGCCAGGTGTTGTTCTCTAATGTCCCTCGTCAATGTAATCGGCCGGCCAACTTCTGTGCTAATTATGCCTATTTTGGCAATTTTATGTGGAAGGATTGTGATGATAGAAATGTACCCCCCTCCTTTTTGTCTCTTTTGAGGGGTGATAGTGACCAAGCCTAGGCTTTTATTATGTACTTTTTCTTTACTTTCTTTAATGCAATATGCAACTTTCAAGGAACCCAAAAACTTTGGGAACCCAAAAACTTTGGGGGGTGGGGGGGCTCTTCATTTGTTCCATTTTCTTTCTCTCACTAGAGTGGTTTAGAGAGAGAGGCTCTGGGATGGCTAGAGGGGGTGGCCTTAGGTCACCTCCTCCAAATGGGGGGCTTGTTGGTGCTGGCAGCATTGCGGCTGGTGCGGGTGCTGGGATGGCTGTAGGAGGCGCTGTGGGCACTAGGCAGGCCGCTGCTGGAGCAGCGGGCACAAGGCTGGCTGCGGGGTCCTCAGCTGGTGCGACGGAGGCGCTGCAGGTGACTAAGGGCCAGGTGCATGCGAACGGCAAGGCAGCGGGGGCCTATGTGGCGGGGACGAGCTCCGCGCTAGGAGATGGCAGCGGTGAGGCCTTGGCGAGCGCAGAACAGGCCATGAAATTCACCCAATTGAAATTCTCACCGGGCATCAACTCTCCAATTGCGAAGCCTGCAGCTGTGCGGGAGCTCATTATGAGCTCGATTGGGATGTCGCCGCTGCTTGGGACGGCCCTGACTAGTGCTCTTACCTAGGTTCAACCCCAGGGCATGGACAAGGATGATAGCAGCTGCAGTTCGGGGGAGGGATCTCGACGTGCCAGCAGCTGCGGCATGGCAGACAAAGACCGTGAGCAGTCCGAGCATGAAGACTGTATGGCCAGCGAGATGGAGGAATCTGGGGAGGCTTCGGGCTCCCAAACGGATATGAACGATGATCAAGGGGATGGGGTTGCTATTCAATTGAAGGCCCTTGCAGAGGCAGTGTTGCCATCCGGACGGAAGACCACCGCCTGGGCTGACCTTGTTAACGACAAGGTTAGTCCCTCAAGCGATTGTGATGCCGATGATCATAGGGATGTGGTGGATATGGACTGTCTTGCTAGGGAGGGCATTGCTGCTAGTTCTAGGGTGAACATCCCGCTGGTCCTGCCATCACCGAGCAAATAACTTCAGAACAGTGCACATAAGGTGCTTGTGCAAATGCACCTCCCTCCCAGGTTGCTGCTTGGGCTAAGCCGCAGCCCCCGCAAGCCAGGAATCTGCCGCCGCATGACTTGCCCAAGGGGCCTTTCGCTTGGAGCAAAGTCCAGCATGTTCCTCTTGATCGCCTTAGCCGTGAGCAATGGAGTGCATTGGATGGGTTGTGCATTGAACCCGAGAGGGACTCAGTCCGGGACAACATTTCTCGGTTAGACAAGGCTATTGTGGCGAAACTCATGGGTCGTCGGATTTCTTTCTCGTTTCTTCTCGAGGAGCTTAAGCGAAGATGGTACCATTTTGGAGAATTCGAGATCATTACGGTTGCAACAAATACCTTTATTTGCATTTTTAAAAGCACCGAAGCGAGAGATGCGGTACTCTCAAGTGGGCCGTGTATTGTGGCCGGGAATATCATAGGAATGGATAAGTGGACCTCCACCTTTTCTCCATCTTCTTTGCATGGCTTACACTCGCCGATTTGGATTCGATTGCCACAGCTACCACTTATCTATTGGGATATCAACAACATTACTCGCATTTCCAATGGGATTGGTGAGCCTCTTTGGATGGACTCTCATACTAGCACATGGGGGAAGTCATCCTTTGCACGGATTTGTGTAAGGATTAATCTCAAACAAAAATTAATACCGGGAGTTTGGATTAATGGCATCCATGGGAAGTTCTTTCAAAGAATTGAATACGAATGCCTATCCAATTTTTGCTTCGACTGCGGCTACCTTGGGCATACTAAAGGCAGCTGCCCAAATTTGGGAAATACTAGTGGACCGTCCCCATCCAGTGGACGTGCAACTCAGGCCACCCATGCTGTGCCAAAGGATCAGCCCATCCAGGGCCCCTCGGCAAGGACCGAACAACCAACTAGGAATGACCTGCAGGGATGTGAGGAACATGATGAGGATTCTTTGGGCACTTGGAACTTAGTCACCCGCAAGAGGAGGGGCAAAAACAAAGCACCTACAGCTGCTCCATCCAAGGGAAGGGACGGGTTGACTGAACCAAGCCAGGCCACTCCTACACCCGAGAACACTCAACAACGTATGGAGGAGATCTCTAAGAGGATTGTCAACCCGAGGAAGTCTCCCACTATGAACCAGAGGGTCTCCTTCAATGCAGCCAGATCGGGCCAAGATCAAACACCAACGACAGTGGATCTCTCCAAACGGCAACACAAGGCATCCAGGGCTTTCATGGAGAAGCATCTACTACGGTTGGGACCGATTGCCACCCTTCCTCGCAAGAGGAGGAAGAATTTACAAGATGACATCGGCGGGGACTTTGTCCCCTTTGAGGATAAATGAGGCCCTTCTTTGATTCTTGCCCTTGGGTGCTAAAGGTGATCATACTATGTCTGGCGCAATGGGATATCTCTCAGCCTTCGGGCTGTTTTAAACTTTTTATAGGTATCTCCCCCCGCTGGAGTGGTTCTCTGATCATTTTTAGTATTTTTTGGGCAAGTAATTGGGGGGGGGGGCCTCCTTGTGAATCAAAGGGGCTTATCCTTGCGATAGTTGCTTTCCTTTTTGTCTATCATACTTGTATGGTTTTCTTCATAGCTTTAGACCTTCCCACCTTTGTTTTTTGCCTAGGGAAGGCAGATAGCTTTTCCATACTTGTTATGTACTTTCTCTTTTATTAATCAATGCAAATGCAACTTTCAAGGAACCCAAAAACTTTGGCCCGAAACCCAAAAACTTTGGGAGGTTCTTCATTTCTTACCACTCCATTCTCTCACTAGAGTGTTCCTAGAGAGAGAAGCTCTGGGCATGGCGGGGGGAGACAGGCGGTCTCCTCCCCGCTCCGGCGGGGGTGGCGGTGGTGATGGTTCGGCGGAAGGTGGGGGAAGTGATCGGAGGAGGTCGGGTTTTGGTGCGCAGGGTGGTCGCATAGGCGTTGAGGTGAAATCCCCGGCCAAGGCGGGATCGAGGAAGTCGGAGAGCAAGAGTGCGGCTGCAGCTAGGCTTTCGGCTGAGGAGGTTGCTGCTGGGGCGCGGGGTGCTAAGGCCGCGGACGGGCATGGCCTTGGCCAGGCTATTACGCAGGGAGGCTTAGACTTGGCCATAGGGCAAGGGGCTGCCCTGCTGGGAGCGACTCGGGTGGACATGCACATGGAAATGGACACGGAGGAAGGGGACTGCGGCGCTGCCATGGAGTTTGAACAGGCGCTGGGGCGTGTTGCGGAGGTTGCCAGTGCGGAAGCTGCGGCAGCGGCCAGGTATGCTGCGGTACTGGAGTTGGCGTCTGGATGTGCAGCAAGGCACCAGGCGGCGAACCAGCCAGAAAATACTGGCTCTGCGGTGCGCACGGAAGAATCTCAACAGCCGATTTTAGCTGCTGTGGTGGTTCCGAGCGGTAAGTGTTGTGAGGACACTGATATGGGAATAGAGGTAGCTGCTGCCGGTGAAAATATAGATGGCAATCCTGGATTAGGCGTGAACCTGCAATTCTCACAGGGCTGCGGTGGCGGAAATCCGCAATCTCGCACATAAGGTGTTTGCCGTTTTGCTTCTAAGGGGGAACGGCCGGAAGTCTTTGGCGGATTGGCGCCGGACAGTGGACAAACTAATGGGAATAATGTGTGGAAAAACCTGGAGCACATCCGGATTGAGGAGGAAGTTGCCCAAGGGACCTTCTCGACGGACGGTGTGGTGGAGTTGCAGATGGAGCTTGTGGAACAACGCATTTGCGCGCTGGATAACGCCGTGGTAGGCAAAATTATTGGGAAAAAATTACCCTATTTTGTTCTTAGTGGAGTGATTAAGCGATAATGGAGCCATTTTGGAGACTATCATCTTTCCACTATTGGTACCGACTGTTTTGTGTGTCGGTTTAGCTCGGAGGAGGCACGGGATGCGGTGCTTTGCGGCGGGCCTTGGTTTTTCAATGGCAATATAGTCGGGTTGGATAGGTGGACGCCATCTTTCTCGCCAAACTCTTTGGCGGGACTATCATCGCCGGTTTGGATTCGTCTACCTCAATTACTGCTGCAATATTGGGATTTGTACAATCTTATGCGGATTGCATCACATTTTGGCACCCCTTTGTGGATTGATGCACAAACTGGTGGAGATGGTAGGCGGGAATACGCACGTGTTTGTGTGCGGCTGGATTTGGCACAAAAACTACAGCCGGGCACATGGATTAATGGCTGGAAGGGAAAGTTCTACCAAATGGTAGAATATGAAGGCTTGGGTATGTCATGCTTTGGTTGCGGGCGTATTGGGCATCGACAGGATAGTTGTCCTGCCCGTGGGGATGTACGGGGTGCTGGCCAGGTGGGTACTCCTGCGGGGATATCGAAAGGGAAGGCCATATTGGAAAGTGGCGGATCTAGTGTGGCGTCCACAAGCAGGGTACGGCCTAATCCGCGGGAACAGCCTAAAGAGGTGCCATCACCATCTATTTCGGTGGAGGGGGGGGGGGGGGGCCCCCAGGGGGGTGCCACTCTACAAACATTGCGGTCATGGTTCGGGCCGACCGTGATGAACTGCCTACCCCAACTGCTGGAGGGAAATTACCTCCTCTTGTGGATGGAGACAAACCGGAATTATCTGATGATGAAAAACTCTTTGGGGAGTGGAATATTGTGCCACCAAGGAAGAAGAAAATTATGCAACAGAAGAAAGCTCAAGCTTTAGTTGAGAAAAAACCTCTTGGTGAAAATGTGCCAAGACAAGTTAATTTCAAAGAGGTTGGTGAACCTTTGAGGGACAGCAGCAAAGAAAACCTCAAACCGAGTTGGCGCAAGCTAGGTGTTAAAGAGCCAACCTTGTTCTCGGTGGGTGTGGGCAAGGATAGGCCGAAACTTGGTGCATCTAAAGCCCATTTTGACAAAGAACTCCAGGCTCTTGGACCTATTGAGGTGGGTCCTAGGAAGAGACGTAAGGAAAGTGGGAGTGGCACGAGCGGCGGGGACGCTTCCCCTATAGTTGTCCAATGACCCACATCATTATGTGGAATTGTAGGGGGGCCCAAAAAAAAAACACGGGCAACTTCCTACGACACCTCGTTGTTTCCAACGAGGTTGGCCTTGTCGGGTTGATTGAAACTAAGGTGGAGAGCATCAGTAGGGTGGAGGTAGACCGCCTTGTTGGCCGTGAGTGGGACTTTTTCCACCATCCTGCTAATGGCCGCTCGGGTGGACTCCTACTAGCCTGGAGACGCGACCTCCTCAAGGTTGAGGTTGATTTGGCTATGGACCAATGTGTGGTGGTACGGGTTGTTATGCCCTCTCTTGTTCTATGGAAGGTGGCACTTGTGTATGGCAACAAGGATCTCCATGTCCGACGGCAATTGTGGGAGTGCCTTGGCACTATCATCACCCCGTATGTCCCTACTATTGTTGGGGGGGATTTCAATTGTTGTCTTGCCCAGGGAGAGAAGAAGGGTGGGAAGCGATTTCGGTTTTCGACTGGTGCTCAGGATATGTCGAATGCTCTTAGTCAACTTGATCTTCATGATTTGGGATTCACTGGTCCCTCTTACACGTGGTCTAACAACAAAGAGGGCAATAGCTGGATTTTGGTTAGGCTAGA